AAAAAAAAAAACATAAAACACCCTTGGTTTGAATGAGAATGGAATGTTCATCACAAAAATGCTTAATTGCATTTTGGTTCATATTTGAAATTCAGTAAAACTAAGCATTGTGCAAGCTCAAAGAAAAAATCAAGAGAAAGGAAATGGAAGACTTTCTGTTTGGTAGGAAAGATGGCGTTAATCCTAAGTATTCAAAATAAAAAATTTCCAAATTTTGTAAGGTGGGGAGTCAGATTCTCAAGAACAGATTATGATGCTGTTTAATATCATATTTCAAGCAGAATTTACGCAATATTTAGCTTAAATCCTGCCATATATCCAGTTTCAGACTTCTCATTGGTAAATCCCGAACTAGTTTAATCCCAATATTTAGAGAATTTGATGGATTTAAAAGATCTCTCACTCAAAAACTTAAAAACAAATAGCTAAACATTCTATCAGGATTTTAAAAAAATTAAACAGTTTTCACGCCAAACAATTTTCAGATTTTAAGATTTACTAATACAAATTTGTAGCCAAACACCCTCGAAAAATGAATAAAATTACTTCAGGTAAAACAATCCAAATAGGATTAAGAACTCCAATAACACCCAAGATATTGCCATTTCTAACATTAACAAAAAAAATTAAAAATATGTGGTTAGCTCACCTGCTAATTCTGGAAGGCACATTCTCAGAAGACATGATGATTACTGGGATGTCCTTCAGCAAGGAAGATTCCTAAGTTATTCAACAACAAGCAGATCAGACTCAGAAAACAACTAGTTCTCAAATTTCGGTCTTTTTGCACAAATTCATACTAAAAAATAAAATTTTACAAGAAAAAAATCCACCTTGATCTTTTTAAGGAAATCATAGCCTGTCATTTCTGGCATGCAATAATCAGTAATTATTAAATTCACATCAAGCTCCTGCAATTCATCATAAACAAATTAATCCGACATAACTAACAAAGCTCTCAACTTTAACTCAGGGCAAGCATCCATGGTAGTAAACTTACCTTTTGATTCCGCGGCGTCGCATTATTACTATCTTCAACCAAGCCCAGATACTGCAGGGCCTTGCTCACGGAATCCACCGCAGTAACTAAGCAAAACAGAGAACCAAAATCCCAGATTCAGAAAAAAAAAAAAA